TCATCATAGCTTCCCAATCATAGCAGTTGAGGATAGTGGCATAATCTTGCAAACTCTGCTGCAAAGCATATTGAGTAAAAGGGCAGGTAGCAAATAAATGATCCCTACTCTCTAACCCCCATAGACACAACACACAGGCAGTATCAACCACTTTCCCCCAAGAAGCTAGCTTATCTCTTGTGTACACTCTATCACGAACTATTAGCCAAAGAAGCATGTTGTACTTAGGGATTATGAAATTACCCAAAACCAGATCAGACCAAGGGATAGGTGATAAAAGAGATCTAATTGAGTTCCCAACTTTCTTACCCGAAAACCGTTGCATAGCTGCACCATCCCATGTCAAGGAAGAGCCCTCTCCATCAATGAAAGGCTGAGCATCCCCATGAGTTTTGAGAACTCTTTTCCAGACCCAAGAACCCACTGAAGTAGGAGATATATTCCATAACGACTTGAGCCTGTACTTTCAAATCCATGTTATCCACAACAATCCACTCCCTGCAAGGATGTCCCAGATGTGTCTAATGACACATGTCCTATTCCATAGCTTAAAGTCTCTTATCCCAAGTTCACCTTCTACCTTCAACAAAACTGCAAAATTCCTGGCTACTAGAGCTCGAGACTGAGCTCTTGTGTGATACCTCAATTTTGATTTAGGTTCAACAACAACTACCAAATCAGTTGGACCAACGAATGAAAACGAATCAAAATTTTGTTTCATCACAAAACCAAGCTAATTGGTGAAATTAAAAAGGACAGTGAGTTACTCAAAGTTGCACGATGCTTCAATTCTAGGTATGAATACCTGTGATGGTTAGAAGAAATATAAGATTCCGGTATGCGGTGAGAATAAATTCTCTAGGGAAGGAAGTACAAAAATGGTGTTAACGGAATAATGACAAATTTTGTGGGCAAAATTTTTTTATATCAAACCGAGTTGGGGCCAAGACTTAATTAGTTCATCGGGCCAGTTGGAAAAGAAGCATGCACAAGATGGGTCGTAGAGTACAATTTAGCATTGGGTTTTGAAGAGGCTTCATGGCTCACATATCAAATCATAATTACCCTAAGAAAAAAAGAAGACCCCAAGCTAATTCGGCTAGTGAGAGCAGAAAGGAGACGGAACACCCCCTCCCCCCCCCCCCCCCACCATAACCCTAGTTTTTTTTTTTTTTTTTGCCTCTCACAACTGCCGCTCCAAAGTGCTTCTTCCCAAATCCCTTCGCAAAATACAATCGCTACAGCAATGACAGGGAGATAGGAAGAGGACAAAAATGGGGTTGCACGAAAGCTATTAGGTTCCCTTCTTTCCACCGCTAAGCAATGGACAACCTCAAAGGAGCTATACCATTTGGCTTGCAATGGCTTCTTCCCCAAACTTCCATCACACAGTTCTTTTCCATGCATGTACCCAAGGAATTAGAGTTTTCCGGAGCAGCCAAATGGTTTGGGGGAACGTGGCAATTTATTGATAGAGGACTCCTTTTCCATCGCCCAAAAGCAGTGAGCGGATGAGTTGATTTGGGGTAAGACATCTACCACTTGCGCTACTGTTAAGATTTCGAAACCATTATATTGCACGATCTATAGAGGAGATGAACTACGTGGTTTGTATGGACCTTTATGTTTGCATATATAAATATACACGCACCTATCACTTATACTATGGAACCTACAAGCTGAAAATTGATGAATATGGTTGATTAATGGGATTCCTAAATTAGATATGTTATGGAGGGCCATGCACATTGCTTTTGGAAGCACACAGAGGAATGGAATTTGCATGATCCTATGTAGGCAACTCTTGGAAGGTGGTTTGTTCAAGTCATGAACTTGATCCTAAGGTGAGTGTAAAGGGGGTAAATCCTACGCCTTACGTATTTTTCAAGTATTTGTCTTACGAGCTTTAAGTAATTTTGTGAAGTGGTTGCTATGGTTGTTTATGCTTATGGTTGATGATATGTTCTTTTGTTTGAGCTATAATTTGAAGTGAATGTGTGTTATTTAATTACCTTAAAGCTTTACGTTATGAGTGATTGTTAAATTTTAAGAAACAAGTTTCTTTTAAGAAGTTCTTCACCTTCATAAAGGTGAAATAGTTTTATGTGTTTTTAGTCACTAGCGCCAGTCCGTTATCATTTGAGATAGAGCAGCAGTTATGCTCTTGAGACCTTTTACATAGAGCAGCAGTTATGCTCTTGAGACTTTAAGATGAGCAGCAGTTATGCTCTTGAGATATTTTAAGATGAGCAGCACTTATGCTCTTGAGAATCGTGGAAGAAGAGCCTTCCACGATAAGTTTAAGTTTAAGGAAAGCCGTGATAGCTTCTCATACGTATGAGTTGGCCACCAGACTAGCTAGTGAAGGATCCATGTGTCAATCAAGAATTTAAGTGGAGATTTGAGCTTTATGAGTACAGTTTTAACAGTTACGATTTTTAATAGTGGAAGTACAAAACAACTTCTACTAAGTTAAGTAAAGTGATCAAGTATTAATAAGTTGTTAAACGTAAGGGCGTAGACTGATCCCATCTCACTCACTAGTTTGAAGAGCTAGAGGAGGAGCTAGAGGAGCAGTTAGTGAGCAGTGAGTTCGAGGGCAGCCAGCTAGAGGAGGGTAGTATAAGCGTCAAGATTTCAGTAGCAACAACTTTAGAGATTATTAGTTATTTACATTTATGATTATGAGTATAGCCTGGAGATCACTTTGAGATTTTAAGTATTGATTTTGCCAATGTGTTAGGGCGTTGCTTTGAACTACAAATGTGTGTTTTCAGTATTTTATTTATGAAAAATTTTCCCGCTACAATTTAAGATTTGAGTATTTTATTTATCAAGGGCATTTTATTAAAAGTAGTACCCGGCCGGGTTAGGATGTTACATCCTGAATCACTCACTCCCCAAAGGAAGTTATTACAAAGAGTTTCAATCTCATTAGGAACTCCTTGTGGGAGCAGAAAAATCACCATCCAGTATTGCATAACACTGGAAATAACTGACGAAACAACTGAATGCATCCTGCATAACTTAGCAGCAATGCTTTCCATCCTCTGATATGAGCTGTTATCTTCTCAACCAATAATGCACCATCTGGGTTTGGATAACTTCCCTGCAAGAAGTTGAACTCCCGAGTACTTAATTGGGAAAGAACTAAGAGAAAACCTAGTTCGATCTGCAATAAGTTTCTGATCCTCCTCTCTTTTACCTCCAAAGAATATCCGACTTTTGTCAGGATTAAATTTTAACCCAGATAGTTTATAGAACTTAGTCAAAATATTCTGAATTCTATCCATGGAATACTCAGACCCATTGGAAAACACAAGGGATCATCAGCAAAGCATAAATAAGTTATATTCAACGATTTGTCGCGAGGATGATATTGCAAAACTCCTGTATTAGTAGCTCTATGCAGTAGACAAGAAAAGATTTCCATTGCTATTGTGAACAGGTAAGGAGACAGGGGATCACATTGTCTCAAACCCTTACCTCCATCAAAATAGCCACACAACCCCCATTCAAAGCAACACTAAACATTGGGGAAGAAACATAAATTCTGACCAGATTCACAAACTCAGAAGGTATTCCCATCACCAACATAGTTTTAAACAAGAATCTCCGATCCACAAACTCAAATGTCTTCATAAGATCAATTTTAGCCAGACATCTAGGAGACAATAGATGTTTTAGTGTAGTCCTTAACCAATTCAGAAGCCATTAGGAAGTTATCCCCTATGAATCTACCTTTCACAAAAGCTTCATGTGATTTACTAATGAGAGATGGAAGGACTTTGGCTAGTCTATTGGCAAGAACTTTAGTTATACCCTTACATAGCACGTTACAACAGGAAATGAGCCTAAAATCCTTCATTTTTTTGCACATTAGCAATTTTTGGAATCAGGGTCAGGATAGTAGAGTTTAGCTTACGAGGCAAGACCCCAGAATGAAAGAATTGTAGCACTGCAATCTCCACAACTCCCCCAACCACAACCCAATTAGCCTTGTAAAAATCTGCTATAAACTCATCAGGACCAGGAGCCTTGTCTTTAGCCATAGATAGGAATACGGATCTAACTTCTGCAATGATAACTACAGTTTTCAAAGTATCCACTCCTCATAAGAAAGTTTATTCTGTAAGAGCTGCTCAAAAAAAGCATCAGGCTGTTCAATCACCTCCGTGTTTGCTTCACCAAAAAGCTTTTTATAGAAATCAACCATCATCATACCCATTTTCTTAACATTTGTGTTTCACGTCCCTCATCATACAATAAGTGATCGATTGTTTGCCTTCTGTTCCATATTTTTGCACAAGTATGAGAGAATGAGTGCCCCAACAGACACCTCAGGCTGGAGGAAGTGAAGACGACTGCACTCTACAACACCACCGGAAAAAAACGCCTGAGAAAAACAGAACCAATGGTAAACCGAGGAGAGAGAAGAGAAAGTATAGAGTTTGGAGGTTGAAGGGGGAAAGTTAATCTGCTAACTTGAAGATTCGTTAGCAGATACTAACTGATATCCAAAATACATGACCTAATATCCCAGTACTAAAGTATCTAGAGGGCACAGACTAGTATTCAAAGTTTGCTAACTAATATCCATCATGAATCAACAACTATCTCAAATTCACAAACTAATATCTAGACAACACAGAATAGTATTCAAACATAACATAATTAGTATCCAGATAACACATAAGAGTATCCAGATAACCCATAAGAGTATCCATATTGAATACTAATTGGTTGATTATGGGTATTAGTTGGTATCTGCTATCTAGATACTAGTTTGTGATGTTTAGAATACTAGTCTATACTATTTAGATACTTAACAGACTTGGATATTAATTCATACATTTTGAATATTAGTTAGTATACAAATAGTTGTTAATAACTAGTCTCGGATTTTTCAGCTCGTGAATACGACTCGATTTTGATTTGGGGAATACAGCTGCCTTTTAAAGTCTATAAATCCTCTAACTTTGTGCATCTTCGATCTCGATCAGGAAAAACACAAGGCCACGACGACGTGGGAAGTTCCAATTCAAGACGACACGTCGTGGTTGTGGAAATTTCTCTCATTCTATTCTAGTAGCCCGCCAGCCCAGCCAGCCAGCGGCGGAAAATAAAAACATATATATGAATTAAATTGGTATATAATCGTACCGTACCCTCTCTCTCGCAGTCGCACGCCACGCCTGATCCAGAACAAGGGGGGTGAGATGATGACCTCTGTGTACGGCTGCGCAGAGTGCGGAGCCGACCTCAATCTCAGCTCCGACCACCTCTACCCGCCGGACTTCTTCTTCGAGGCCGGCAACAAGGGCTCCCTCTCTTTCTCCACCATCGACACCGCCAAATTTAATTTCGAGAAGGAGGACAAACTCAGGCCCTTCTTCGAGACCCTTAATTACTGGGGAATCCAGAGGCGTCGGACCAAGATCAAGTGCAACCACTGCGGTTACCTCGTCGGCTACATCTACGACGACGGCCCTCCTCTCACCGGCGGAACCGGCCAGTTCCATATGGGTCCCAGCCAGGTCATCCCTAGGGCACCCAGATACCGTTTCAAGATCAAGTCCCTTCGGATCAACTCCTGAGCTTTGGAAAAGCATCCAATAGGGAAGCTCTGCCTTCTGATCATACATGCAGCTTTCCCTCTTTTCTTTGTTTGAGACGATGCTGTCTTAGTTACATACCGTTGTAGAACATTTACTTTGTATACATATTGTTGAGAACGGTGAATGTTGCTTTGATAATGTTTGTCTTCCATCTGAGTTCTCGGTGCAAACCTTTGTTGTTGGGTATTCTAAGCGATCAATTTCCTTAACCCCTTGGTTTCATCTTCTACCAGTCAAAAGTGTTGTGTTACCCATCTGGTATTATAGAGGAAAGGAAGTAGAAAAGGCTTGTGTAGATGAATGCCCATCTTCTGCTAGTACAAGTTAGCTGGAGGGTTGGTTGTATTAGTAGTTTGCCAATGCTTCTTTCTTAGACCATCGCCTTGTGTATGGATCTCTCAATGGATTGCTGCCAGTTCAGCATCTTATTCTCGTGAAGCACTTTGATAATCAACATGGGGATTGCAACCCTGGAAACTTAGGATGGTTTCAGGATGATCAACAAACCTCCAGCTTCTGTTCCTAGACTTGATTCTTGCAGGAGTATGACGAGACAAGAGACTTTGAATTTCTGGATGCAAAAACTGATCGTCCAAGAACATCACCTCATTGATGCATTCAAGGCTGCTGCAAATACCATGGCCCTCCATCTCACCGTAAGATATGTCAAAGTTTGTATATTAGTCTCACTGATTAACGTCCGTACTTTGTAAGAACTACTGTCAGACCTGCCTTTAACATTTTCTTGTATCGAAAATAGTGCAGGAGACTGAGTACAAGGAATTCGAGGAGTTGTTGAAGGATGATGATTGTGGTGGTATAGAGAGATCCCTCTTAAGTCTTTTAGAAGTGAGGACAACAACACTGCATCATTCCTGGGACTGGTTAGTCAGTCTCAAAGTTTCTCATTATTGTCAATTGTTTCTGCCAGTGAATAGAAACAAAATTAAAGAGCATTTTTCTAGATCACAACTTTCTTAGAAACTGAAAGATATTTGTGCCTAAGGTTGTAAATCTGTTAAAGTTTCCCATGAAGCGAATGGGTTGCGTCCTTGTAGCTGCTGCCATTTATATGTTGAGTCCTGAAAATTATACATCTACAATTAATAATACTCGCTAATGATTCATGGTATACATCACTAAGAACAGTTCTCAAATGGATTGCTGCCAGTTCAGCATCTTATTCTCGTGAAGCACTTTGATAATCAACATGGGGATTGCAACCCTGGAAACTTAGGATGGTTTCAGGATGATCAACAAACCTCCAGCTTCTGTTCCTAGGCTTGATTCTTGCAGGAGTATGACGAGACAAGAGACTTTGAATTTCTGGAGGCAAAAACTGATCGTCCAAGAACATAACCTCATTGATGCATTCAAGGCTGCTGCAAATACCATGGCCCTCCATCTCACCGTAAGATATGTCAAAGTTTGTATATTAGTCTCACTGATTAACGTCCGTACTTTGTAAGAACTACTGTCAGACCTGCCTTTAACATTTTCTTGTATCGAAAATAGTGCAGGAGACTGAGTACAAGCAATTCGAGGAGTTGTGGAAGGATGATGATTGTGGTGGTATAGAGAGATCCCTCTTAAGTCTTTTAGAAGTGAGGACAACAACACTGCATCACTCCTGGGACTGGTTAGTCAGTCTCAAAGTTTCTCATTATTGTCAATTGTTTCTGCCAGTGAATAGAAACAAAATTAAAGAGCATTTTTCTAGATCACAACTTTCTTAGAAACTGAAAGATATTTGTGCCTAAGGTTGTAAATCTGTTAAAGTTTCCCATGAAGCGAATGGGTTGCGTCCTTGTAGCTGCTGCCATTTATATGTTGAGTCCTGACAATTATACATCTACAGTTAATAATACTCGCTTATGATTCATGGTATACATCACTAAGAACAGTTCACAATAAAAATCGTAATTATAGAAAATATAATAGCAGGACACAACTAGAGTCACTGTAGCATATTTTATCTTTTAGCAGCTTGCATCTCTTTGCTTTTCCTACTTGTTCAATTGGAACTAAATACTTTCCATTTAGTTAGCTTTTACTCTCTTAGCTGTACTCTTTCAGAGAAACCGTGTTCTCTCCTTTCTCGCCTACTGGTCATGTTCTCTTTTCTCTCTCCTGCTGGCCACGTTGTACAAAAATCAGACGAAACCAAAGCGCCAGCTCTCGAGGCACTGCCACTGCTTTCTGGGATCTTACTTTCTTCAAAATGGAAGGAAATGCTGGACAGGATTTGTGAGAATCTGCCCAGGAAAGTGTAGCTGCTTAGTGAAGAGAGTCCAGACGAAGCTCTCCGATGGTAGGATTGTTTGGAGGGGAAGTTATCTTAGATTCTGAGAGGCGCTGGCAAAAAGTGAATTCATGAGCATTGGGGAAATGGGTTGGGAGGGAAAGGGGAGGATGAAGCAGAGGGAGAGAAAGGGAACGGCAGTGAAGCTCCTCCAACCATGCTAGCGTTGACAGGTGATTCTCAAGCTGCGGCAAGCTGCGGCAAGCTGCCAGACAAGTCTAGGAAGGAAGCTGTTTATCGGCGGTGACAAGCTGGTGGTGGACTGGTGGTAGCAGGGACAGGGGATGCTGGTGGTAACCGCGGAGCAGTGGGGTTGAGACGATTGTGAATCCACATATACTGTGAGGTATCAAAGGTTTTGCGAATTTCGGAGAGTGGTCCAAAGCAGTAATGTTGTAGGATTGAAGAGCAGCAGTGGCTGGCATTGGGGGTAAAGCTGGAGTGCTAGAAGCAGAATGGGATTTGCCCGACCAGTGGTGGAGTAGAAGCCCTCTAAGAAGGCTGGTGTGGGGGATGAGCCAGGGAGGAGAATGATGGAAGTCATGAGCTTAATGCACCTATTTGGGGAGCTCAACAATAATTTCTTTACCGCTTTCAAGAGTGCTCATGAAGTTTCCAAGACGCTGGGGGCCACTAGATTGCATCATCACTCCAATTCCCCAATGATTCTCAGGGTAAAGGTTTAACTTTCTGTGGAACCAGCAGAGTAATTTCCACAATCGCAAACTCTCAGATTAGTTCTTTCGAACTCTTTTGATATTTTGTCTTTCTACTTTCTGTGTTCTTTGTAAAAATTAGAGCTTTTAATGTTAATTCTCATTTCCTTTTAGCAATTTGGAAGCTGATACCTCTGCCATTGGACTAGTTTATTGTCAAGCTAATTTTGATGAATAGCATCGGTTCAGTGCATTAGTCTTGGTGAGTTTATTCTCATTTCCGTTCTCTTCCTAGCAGCAGCATACAACCAGTATATCTTGTGGTGTAAGAATGTAACTCGAATGATTTGCTCTAATTGTGAATTGCTCTTAATGAGTGTAAACCTGAATTGATTTGCTATTAATGAATGTATGAATGTAACTTGATGCAGGGGTCTACAGTCTTCTCGATTTTTTGCTTTCAAATTGCTGGCTGTTCTAGGGTTACTTCATTATATGTTGCTTTACCTCATGTTACCTTAACTGCTTCTATGGGGATTGGATGCTGCAGGGACTAACTTGAAGCCCAAGATCATTCTGGTGAGCTCCATTTCTAATGCTCTCAAGGTAATCTTGCAACTGAACTGTGAGCCGTCATTCTCCAGTTTATTATTCTAGCTCTGATTGTTTTCCTAATGTACCATAAGGTTTCAAATATGAATTACGTCTAATTTGAATGAAGAACTTGGTCATCATTAGTGAAACAACGTTTGGCAACAATGGTTCCTCTCCTATGCACAAAAAACCTCGATAGGAAAGGGATTCATACACCACTCTACAAAGGATCATTTAGTAAGAAAATGATTATTTAGTGTTGATGATAGCGACGAGGATGAATCTAAAACCCTTTCTAAAAGCACGGAGTAAGTTTACGTTACATATTGATCTATTAAATTGGTAATGTGTGTTTGTTTTCATATGTAGATTTAATTTTAACTCTGAGTTGTAGGTCATGAAAGTGGAGGGCCTAGAAGAATTTATAGAATCTGCAAAATACAGTTGAAGACTTGTTTTATGTTGTTATTAAAGAGAAGACTGGAGACACAAAATGAGACAAGTAAGAGAATTATTTCATTTTTTAAAGTAATATATGTGGTCGATCACGTCGTCTTGAATAGGTCGGCCTTGTCTCTGAATAGGTCGATTGATATTGTGCAGGTCATAATTGACATTTCTGTTATTTTGCATTTTGCAGTTTGGTCGCTATTGAATTTGTTCACGAAAACGTACAATGACAATATTTGAGTTTGCTCATTAGCGAGAGTAGCTGGATATGTTCATCCGTAAGTACTATACTGCTACGACTTTAGAATGAATTGTGCATTATTTTTGTTATGATTTAAGAGGATTTTGTGGTTGATTGTTGGTTTGTAGGTAGTGGATTTGTGTGCAAAAGCACTAACAATATGTGAAAAATATGATAAAGATCCAGATGTGTGGTATTTGTCAAATATGTTTTCGGTAAGAGGCGTAATTTTTATTTATTTATCATAATCTAGTTATTAATATTGTACCAATGTCCCTCTCTCATTGAGCTTTCAAGGTGCATTTGTTTGTATTCTTATTTGATAACATATTTTTTCCTTGCTAGATATTTATGCCAGTTCTGGACGATGACACACGTTATTAGTTTCCATATCTCGTCAATGTCCAGCAAAAAACCGTATCTTTGCTTGACAGTTTATCGGCAACTAGTGAGGCGAATCAAATCGGAAACACTTTTGCATTGCTCATATGTTCCGATTTGAAAATATCATGCAGTTTGGTACTTCTACCTAAAATCGCTTAGTCACAAAAACTGGTAAAAACATTGGTAAAATCGATAAAATCGGTAAAATCGTGATTCTGTCAAGCGTTTTTATACGATTTTGGTCATCTCATTAAAATGTGCTAATTGGCCAAAAATGATGTAATTTTGGAGACATATCAGCAAAAAAAAAAAAAAAGGGAAAACATGATTCATCACTCTTTCTACAACTAGTGTCGAAATAGGGGCTTCATATTAGGTTGAAAAGACACCTAATGGTACTCTCAATAGCCGCTGACCTTCTATCATTCTTCTCCCTTAATCTTTACATGTGGCTCTTTCCTGGGTTACGATGAAAGTTTATGGGTAATTGATCCTATGTAATTATGTAAACTCAAACCAGCTTATGAGAATTTGGATTCTCAAGCTTGTTTACGGGTTACAATTTATGTTTATGAGCTTATTATTAAGATGTTATGAGTTTTCTCTACTTTTCAGTCAACGCAAATTAGTTTATGTGTTAGATATTACATTTTAATTATGAATTTAATGTAGTTATCTACTTATCTAAAATTTACACACTCACATTTTACATATTATATGTTGTACTTAATCTATTTTAGCTATTTTAGAGGGTGCGTCGAAAACTTACGATTTTACACTTTGATTCTACGTTTTACGATTTTACCCATTTTCTGCTTCTAGGTAGAATCGCGCTTTTAACTGCATTGATGGTGATTATCTCCTCTAGCAAAAACGGTCAACCATGACCATAAAGAGGTCGACCCATATGTGCCCTAATTTTGTGTATTTTTCCTTATCGAATTAGGATTTTGTGTATCCTTTACTATTTGGGATAAATGTTCCTCATACTAGTAAGGATCGTCGTCTATATTCTCTATAAATAGATGAAGTCTTAAGACTTTCATAATAATCCGATTTATGCAATATGTTGGTGTGAAGTCGTAATATTATCGTCCTTTTTGTGATCGTGTGTTGGCGTACTCCAGTTCTTACTCCAGTCGACCTTATACCTAAGTGCTCGACCTTATTTGCTTAGGTATGTTTTCAGTATCGGTCGAATATCGTTTGTGCTTAACTAATCATGAAATACTGGTCGCCCTTGTACTGAAAGAGGTCGACCATATTGTGCGAGTCACGCGCGCTGTGGTCGACCGCGCTTAGTCTGGTTATAGTAAGGTCGACCTTATCAACTCTCACGGTAGCCCGAATTTGTGTTATTCTGTAACATGGTCAGTCGACCTTACTCTTTGATAAGGTCGACCTGACAAGACCTAAATTTGAATTTAGTTCCAAAATTTTATTTTCCATATTGACACAATTCTTATTTCGATGATTCCAGGATGGATAATAGAGATGATATAGACGATAGAGATGTTGAAGAGGTTAACGTCGATGAGAAAACTGAGGATGCTCGAAGAGAAACTATGGATAATGAATATGATATAGATAGGCTAAATTACACGTTTGGTCACTCGAATTATACAAAATTTTCACATTTGCCACCCAAATTACTTTTCTTTCTTATTTGCCACTCACTTTACGAATCATTTCACCGTTAGTCACCGGCCGTTAGACTCCGTTAAATTTGTCCCACGTGACAGTCAACTTCAAATTTGACCGTTAACTAAATGACGTGGAAATTTAAAAAAAATTAAAAAAAAATATTTTTTCACCTCATCATTCCACTAACTTTGTTGATTTATCATATTAATTATTTAATAATAATTAATTAATTCCAAAATTAATTATCCACTAACTATTCCTATTCCTCTTCTTCATCTTCTTCGCAATTATCCCTTAAAACGAAACTTCTTTGCAATTACGACGCCAAGCGGCTCATCAACTCCGGCAAAGACCAACTTCCCCTCTTCCCCCGCCTCCCCCATCGCGGCCGCCGCCCTCCCTTCCACCGGCTTATCACTTGGATCTCGATTCACCCACCTCCGACAACAACCCCCAAAACCATTTCCTCCACCAGCAGTGGAGAACAGCCGTCGTCGGCTGCCCCCGCTTCTCCCTTGGAGGGTTCCTCTAGATCGGCGTCCTCGAGGAAATCACCACTAAAAACCCGTCACCGTCGCATACGCAGCTCAACCGCCGGATATCTCTGCCGTCGTCGCTTTCCTTCACTTGATTTGACTTCACCAACCCTTCGTCTATCTTTCTGATGCCACTTAATCCTCCCAACAAGATTCCAATCAAGAGGGATTCGTAGCACAGACGGGAGTCGTAGCGGAGGAGATCAAAGTTTTAGGGGCTGGGGAAGCGATGGGGGAGATGGGTTGCTGCTCCCGGAGTTGAGGAGCTGATAGGCGTTGAATTACGAAGATAAAGAAGAGGAATAGGAATTGTTATCTAGTTTTTATGATTTATTTTTATAATTTATTAATTAAATAATTTATATGATAAATCTTATAACCAAAGTAAGTGGAACGATAGGATGGAAAAATTATTATTATTTTAATTTTTTTTAATATCTACGTCATCTAGTTAACGGTCAAACTTTATAGTTGATTGCCACGTAGGATAAATTTAACGGAGTGTAACGGCGAGTGACAACGGTGAAACGATTTGTAAAGTTAGTGGCGAATAAGAAAGAAAAGTAATTTGGGTGGCAAATGTGAAATATTTATATAATTCAAGTGACCAAACTTGTAATTTAGCCGATATAGATATACAAATGATGAAGAGTTTGGGGACGATGAGCAAACTGAGGGTGTTGAAGAAGAATTTATGGATGATGAAGAAGCTAGTGAATATGAACATAAAACTCCTTCCATGGAGTTTCATACATTATAAGATTCACAATATTTTTATCATGCCTATTCTAAAGCGAAAGGGTTTAGCGTTCGACATAGAGATCTTCAAAGGAATCGTCGAGGAGTAGTTACTGGGAGGAAAATGGTATGTTCAAGAGAGGGAATTAGTCATAAGCGGCATATAGATAAAGAAGGTTTGACACGACATCATTGTAAGATGATAAGACATTCTTGCAAGGCATCGTATAATGTGCGCTTTGATCGGGGGAAGGAAATGTGGGATGTTTCTAAGTTCGAGAGGAAGCACTCACATCGTTGCTGCAAGAAGAAACTCAATTTCTTCGGTGACATCGAAATGTGAGTGAAGTAGATAAGGCATTGGCGATAGAGATGTGACAGTCAGGAATAAAACAACACAACATTGTTCAGTTCATGAAGAATAAAGTTGCTGGATATGAGATTCTAGGGTACACTCCAAACGATTTGCATAACATTGTCAAAATTTTCCGAAATGATGACGAAGATCTAATAGGAGATGTAAGCCAAATATTGGGTTACTTGCAGAGTAAAAATACTTATGATAGAGGCAGCTTCTTCAAGTACACAGTCAACGATGAAGGTGAATTAAGCAATCTCTTTTGGTCCACTCCACATCTACAGCGAATTACCATTTTTTTGGGGATGTCTTGACATTTTATGCATGCTAAAAGCGCAAAAAGTACAATCGGCATTATCCAAGTTGGATAATGAGATAATTCCCAACTATGTTTGGATGTTGAATACTATTCTGGAGTGTATGAACTATAAGATGCCGACTTCAGTGATCATCGACGGATGGAAGTCTATGTATGGCGCCATTGCTACTGTACTGGCTGGAGTGCCCCATCATCTGTGTATTTGGCATATTGAGACAAATGCAACCACAATTGTTCGTAATAGATAGTTCGTTAGCACATTCACCAACTTGGCGAAAGTACGTATATCAATTGAGGAGTTTGAGAGCCGCCGAGAGCGTTTGATAACTGGACATGGTTTATCTACAAATAAGTGGTTGCAGGATTTGTACGCTAACAAATCACTTTGGGCGGAGGAATACTTGAGGGATATTTATTTTGGTGGCCTCCAATCAATATCGCAATGTGAGTTATGTAACCATTGAATAAATGGGTATGTAGGAACTCAATACATCTTGCAACATTTTGTTCAGGGCATTAAGGAAGCACTGGAGGGGATGCGTTACACAGAGATGCAAGATGATTATTCTTCTAGGCAAAGTAGTTAAAATCGGGATTTTACCTAAACTAAAAAAACTGGGGTAAAATCGGAATCGTAAAATCGTAGGATTTTAAGTACCATATAGAACATAACATATAAGAATATTAGTCAGGTAAATCATTAATAACACAAAGACACATAACATTTAAAATGATAATTCTCAAGATTAATGTTCCAAAATTACTATTTTAATTGTTATTTAATGCGTCACTCAAAATAATTCATGATGAAGGGATAGAACTCATGGGGTTTCCCTCTTGTTTTCATGTTGTGTCTAGTAGTTTAACTCAAAGTAATATTCCGACATCGTCTACTAAGTATGATTTAAAACTAAAAAGAATTGAACTCCAATAAAATAAGTAATGCTAGTGGCTTGGTATAAATATATTCATTAATAAATAAATTAGTTTATAATAATGTCAATTCTTACATACTTCCAATATTAGGAAAATTGTTTTACCAATAAATTAAATGGGACGAAGGGAAATTGATTAACCAAGCTCTAATTTGGTTGTTTTTATTATTTTTAAATGTTGGTTAAATACACTTGTATATCCAAAACTTTCACGGTTGTGACAATAATATCCAAATTTCCCGAAATACCACTTATATCCAATTCCTTCACATTCTTTAA